GGTCTCCGCGGAGGGGGCATCCCAGGGCGGGAGGGCAGCCCGCTCGGGCCTCCCCTTCCCCCACCGCTCCCGGCCCCACCGACCTGCACCGGCGTCATGCGGGGGAAGCCGAGCTCGCGCAGAGCCGCCAGCACCTGTGGGTGAAGCGGCACCGGCAGCGTCTCCCAGGCACCTTCCGTCACATGCTCCATCCCGACCCCGCCGCACCCGCCGTAAAACTCGCAATAGGAGACCACTCTACCCCTCGGTCGGCCCCAGCCCACATCCGCTTCCGGAGACTGCGCCTCCGAACGGCCCCGCGGCGCGCGGCGCGCGGCGCACCGATACCGAAGGTTCCGGGGCGAGAAGGGTACGGGCGTGCAGATGGTCGTTACGCGCCTGCGCAGAGCCGCTCAGTACCGGCTGTAGGCTTCGCGAGCTGGCTGGGGCGGAAACACGAGGTCTGAGGTATGCCCCGCCCCCGGCCACCCCCAGCGGCAGCTCGAGTCCGCACCTCCCGTGCTCGCGCACTAGCAGGAGCCAACCAAAAAAAAGACGTCCTCGTAGTTCAGGGGCGTAATCGGGAAGTTACAAGGGGACTTAATTCTGTCCTCAGAATTCAGCAGACGCCGGGTGTGCACTGGCAGGAAAACCGCCTAAAGGGCGAGTTCAAGTGCAGCTTTTGATACAGATTTGCAGTGTGCGCTTTGGAAGGTCATTGAACCTCAGCCTCATTTAACCTTCCTCATCGGTAAAATGGGGTCAGTAGCAGCTCTGCCTCACCGGCGTGTGAGCATCCTATGAGTTAACGCGAAAAGCACTTAGCGACGCTTAAAGCGCTGTATTCAAGTCAGCAGTTATTATTAACTTCTCCGTGCCCCGGCTTAATGTGCAAAACTAAGCTGCTCATCAGCAGAAGAGCGTTTTCTCTGCTACTAAAAGTTACAGGTGGGGACCAAAAGTCAATTCCACAAGCATTTATTAAGCGGAAACAAAATGGAAAAGTTCCGGGGAGGGGAGGGAGTAGGAGAAAGAAGCAGAGGACCTGGGTCTGGACGATTCTGTTGCTTCCAACCTGTGAGACCTTCAACAAGAAAGGGCTTTGCAGATTCTCCGCGTTGCGAGGAATCCGGGCTCAGCCAGACCAATCTGCTCCGAACTTGGCTTGAAGACCTCCCGTAGGGGAAACCTTCTGCCTCCCAAGCAGCCCATTTCCCCTCTAAGATAATGGGATCTATGATCTCGTAGATGTCGGTGTTCCATCCATCCATGTAGATGCAGATCGCAGCCAACACACCGGCTGGTCCTGGGCAACTCTACTCATCCTCTTCCCCAAATCCACCCATGCAAGGGTTGGGGTGGAGCTCCCCGGGCCCTTTGGGGTTCTTTCCAATGGAACACAGGCGCAGGATTCAACCCTCTCTCTTACTCTGAGACCAGCCCATCCATTTCTTCCATACATCCTTTGGTGACTTAGATTACTCCAATTTCCATATTACTCCTGGTTTTCCAGGGGTTGCAGCCTGTTCACACTCACCACTGACCTTTCGATGAGCCTCAGTTATCCCGTCTCTCGCTATCTTCAATCGCTCTTTCTACTGGCTGCCTCCCTGCTGCCAACAAATATGCCCACGTCTCCCCTATCATCAAAAAACCCTCTCTTGAACCATCTATCCCCGCTATCGTCCTCTGCCTCTGCTGCCCTTTGTAGCTGAATTCCGTAGAGAAAAACGTCTAAAGTTGGTGCCTTCACTTTCTCTTCTCACTCTTCTTAACTCCTTGCAGTCTGGCTTCCGACCTCATCATTCCCCTAAAATTGCTCTCCAAAGTTACTAACGATCTCGTAGTTGCCAAATCCAATGGGAGACGTGTTCTCAACCCTCATACTTCGTGCCCTCGATCAAAAAGCCTCTTCTAAGTATTTATGACGCCCCTCCCTCCTAGTTCTCTTGCCTACCAGACCGCTCCACCCCGTATACTCATCCAGGCCACGCCCCTTGACCATGGGTATCCTACTGGGCACTGGATTTCATTAGTTCCCATGATTCAATGACCATCTCCATGCTTGCAATTCTCCAATTATTATCCATAGACATCTTAAACTCAATCTGTCCCAAAACATAACTTATCACCTTTCCCCCAAACTCTCTCCCCTTCCAAGCTTCCCTAGCACTGCCAAAGGCACCGGCGTCCCCCATCTCCCAGAATCAAAACCTGGGTGTAATACTTGTCCCCTCACTCTCACCTCTGTGTCCAATCCGCTGCTGAGGCCCTTGGAACATCTCTCAAAAACCTCCAATACCTCGACGCCTCGGCGCAGACCCTCATCTCCTCATGCCTGGACTACTGAACTGGCTGCTGGTGGATCTGCTTGCCTCCAGGCTCTCCCCACACATCCATCCTACTCAGCTGTCAGTGATTTTCCCACCACGTCCCCCCCTCCCCACACCTCACCCAAACTACTCCGGCGGCTCCCTATCCCTTCCAGCCTAAACTTGCACCACCTTCTGCCCACTCAGGTGTGGTTCAGAATGAGCTGGGAATCCACTTGATTTTTCTCCCTCTGGGACCGTGTCCCTCATCCCTAAAGGATGTGGACTACATGGCCTTGCCTACTTCTGAAACCGTGTGGGTGAGCCTGAGTGATACCCTGCCAAAGCTTGCTTCCTCATCTATGAAATGGGGGTGATAACTCCGGCACAGCCTACCTCACAGGGAGGGTTACTCTAAGAAAGAACTTTGTCAGCCGTCCAAGGGGACACAAAGAGGAGTCAGCATCCCGCGGGCTCCATTTCTCCCACTGCTTGTGTAGCTGCCTCACTGGCACATGTAGACAGGTGACATCTCCCATCATAGCTCCTCTTCCACCACCAAGAACGTGCGGTAACAGGCAAGATGAGCCCCAAGTGAGCAAAGCACAGAGGTCACAGCTGCTTGGCCAAGGAAGTGTCCTTTTCCTGGGCCCCAGGTCTACCCAGTGACCCATACAACCCCCAGGAGTACCCAAATCAGACAGTAAGAGCATAAAGCCAAGCAGCATCCATACAAAGAACAAGGTCATAGGACCTTCAAGTCTGAACCCCTCATCTTTTACTGTCATGGGCATATTTAAACTCTCTGGGTCTATTTTCTCATTTATAATATGGAGCTGGGCCAGACAAGTTCTGAGGAACTTTGAAGTTCAAAATCTACACTTCTTTGGTGATTCTTTGATCCAAAAAGTGACCGATAAACAATAATGTAGGAAAGTGTATTAAGTGACCTGAAGCTAGAATTATCCACGCTAGGTCTCAATGTCTGTCCTCATGTATAAAGTGAGGAAGTTGGAGCAGACCTCAAAGGTCTTTTCCAGTCCTAAGCTTATCATCCTATGATTTCCACCCAGGACAATCAATCTGAGATTTCCCTGCACACTTAATATTGATGTTGGTAGCTCCTAACATCTCGATGACACAGTGGCTAGAGCATGGTGCAGTAGATAGAGCACTAGGGCCAGGAGTCAGAAGACCTGAATTCAAATCTGGCCTCAGACACTTACTACCTGTGACCCTGGGCAAATCATTTCACATCTGCGTGCCTCAGGTCCCTTAACTGTAAAATGGAGATAAGAGCACGTACCTCCCAGGATTGCTGTGAAATGAAATGAGATATTTGTAAAGCATTCAACACAGTGTAAGTGCTCACACACAATAGGTGCTTAATAAATGCAATGATCCTGTCCCTTATAGATCAATGTCCCAAATAGGTCTGTTTATTCTGCATAATAGCTTTCTAAACCAAATTTTTCAGGACAAGGTTCTAAAGGCAAGCTTCAAAAAAGTGAAAGAAGATGACTATCTACAAGAATGAACAAAGAAAGGTAGGTCTATGAATTGCATTTCTCAAACCTATGAGCTGGAATGGTTACAACTCTGTATTTTCAAGCCATTAATTTACAAGCATAACTTTAAAAATAAACCATATGAAGCTTAGAAATACTTCTGCAAAAATTCCAACTTTTATAGCAGCTACCATTACTCAAAGACCACTAAAAACTTGAAGTTCAGTAAAGATGAAATTATGGCATTTGTCCAGTTGACCATTTATAAATACATACTTCAGCCCTTCAAGGATCCAATTTCATCAGCTGGGTAAATATCTGAGCTATTGGAAACCACAACCCTGCTACAGCGTGTCGTGAAGAGTGGCTGTGGTCACTCTGTAGCCACTGAGGCCCTCTCGGAAGTGAGGCTGGTCCTTGGAGAACACAGTCCCTATCACTAGGCCCAACCCTGAAGTCTTTCCAGCTTGATGGATCTGCCAGAACTGGAGTGCCATTGGCACAGCCTGTAGTACCCAGGGCCAACCCACCCACTACCACCACCACCACCACCACCCCCCATAGCCCCAAGGGGCCTAGAGGTGAGTGGGACTAACAGCATCATGAAATAACTGAACCCCAGATACTAAGGCGGCTTTTTTTTTTTTAAAAGAACTGTTTATTTACTGGACCTGGGTCAAATTAGATACACATCCAATTTTTAATTTACATTGTTGAATTTAATTTTGAAGTGTTTTTACACGAAATAAAACTGGCATTCAACAGTTACACTAAGGTGAAAAAACTCTCACCTTATTAATAAACTGCTGCAAGTATTTTGCCCAAAGTCAAAAAACTTCTTACTCTGAACATGAAAACCTGTAACAAATTTTAAATTAATAGTACAAAACTCGTTACTTGTAGTTTTCCCCCTTGCAAAGATCAAAAAAAGTACAATAATATACATCAGTCACAACATAATCCTTGATCAGCCCCACACCATAAACAGATGCTTCAATTTTCAGCCCATCATCAGAGACCAAGAAAAAGTCATTTTTCATACAAAACAAAATTCACATGTGCATAAAATGAAAGACAAGGAGAGGGGAAAAAAAAAAAAGAACCCTAGTATTGAGAATTATACTCAGTCTTCTTTAGCTAGCCGGTGGCCCAAAATGCCACTGTTTCTGATCAAATAAATGGTGGCTGTATAACATTGCAATAACATCCAAGAGCAAACTTTAATCCTTTGGCATCAGGAATCCAGATTTTCCCAACTTAGATTAACACGTTTTAAGTGCCAACACAGAGGTGAGGGAGGGCAATTGGTACTTAGTCTTTTTTAGCTGGCACGTCCAGCTACCAATTGCTGAAAACAGCCTCCAGCCTTTGTTTGACACATCCAAAGTGTCAGGCAGAAACCAAAACTGCTTGGTTAGCCACTTGTTCTATACTTAATACAGATGGCTGAGTCCTGGGGTCTAACTTCAAGAACATTCCCATTTTCTTTAGGGGAGAATATAGTTTGTGGGCTTGTCAAATAAAAACTACCCTAAATGAATACAAGTACCCAGTTACGATAGTGTATGCCACAAGGTCAATGATTCTATCCGTTACTAGCAGGACAGTTTTGAATGATTTAATCTGCTGTTCCTTAGAATTTCACAGAACTGAATTTTTTTTTTTTTGCTGCAGGTTTAGAGATCCAAAGACATGTACAATCATTTTTAGTAAAAGACTGTATTTGCCTTAGTGCTGTGTTATGAACAAATTGTATTTCATCATGAAAACCAAAGAAAAACAGGACAAACAAATGTGACTAAATCACACTTCATTTATGGTGTTGGAGCTCTGGAATGCCCTGTGGGTTGGAGGCAGATTTCAAATGAGAAGTTATGCCAATTAAGTGTCAAAGTTGTCAGGACAGCCTTGCTAAGAAGGTGTATTTTCAAAACGTAGTCATGAGGAAGAAAGAGAAGCAATTAGTGTACAGTTCAGAAAACAAAAGCTTAGAAACTATGTGATGTCGTTGTGACCAAGATGTTTGGTAAACAGTGAACTGGGAGTTTGGGACCATCAGGAAAAGCCTTCTCAGACAACCCTCCGGACTTCAAAAAATCTCTTCAGGTAGTAGATCTGTCCCAATGTCATGGCAACTAATACGAGAGCTTCAAAGAAGGACCAGAGGACCACTCTGCTGTTTGTGTTGTCATTAACTGTTTGGGAGCAAAAGAGAGCAAGAATCATTGAATTTTGTAAAAGAGGCATCATCAACTGTCCCAATTTTTATAGTCACCAATTAATATACTAGAAAAGGACCTCGAAAAACATGGGCTTTTGTGTTTTCCTTCTAGCCACTTCAACAAACTTGATTTGATGAGTCCTTAGACTGTTAAGAGGGATCATGTTAATTTTACAGAAAAGGAAACTGAGACTCAGAGGGAGATGATGAGGCAAGAAAAAGCCCGACTAAAGCCAAAAATCTGGAGAGCCAAAGAGATGCTGGAGGCAGAGACAGGCAGATGTGCCCACATGTAGGCTGCACTGGAGAGCAAGGATTAATCACCAGACTTCCCAGATCCTTGGAGAGCAGACTCCAGTAACTGACCAAGCAGGTTACAGAAACCACTGCAACTGACCCTCCCAACAAATCCGAGAGACAGCTAGAACACATTTCTTTTCTCAGATCAATCGAATTCTCATCCATCTCATTTCTTAGAGGATGCTTGGCTGGAGACCAAAATAGAGGTGACAGTTCTCACCAGGTTCTGCCAATTCCAGTCTCAGGTCTGGGGGAGAACAGGAAGAACTCCAGAGGGGAAAGAGGTACCTCTGCCCAGGCTGCGCTCAGGAGGATCTTTTCTATGGGAAAACGTATTCAAGTTTGACTCCAGGGAAACCCTTTACCTCCCATTGTCCCCATCACCCTCCTTGAGGTCACCAGTCAAGTCTGGCTGGTCCTTAATCCTCTTGCCACACTGAGTTCCAAAAGCAGGTGGTAAGCTAAAAATTCTTTTGTAAGTTGATTGCTGCAAACTGAATAAATTTTCCCACAGAAAAGAGAAGGTGCCAACCTGCACTGGGACAGTTTCCTCCCTGAGAGATCTCTCTAGTACAGACAAAAAGACAACAACCAAGATCCCCCACTTTTACGTAGAGGAACACCTGTACTTGGCTTTTCCTTCTTAAGCACGGTTTTTTTCTTTTTTAGTGCTTTGTTTCCAACATATAAAGTTATGCAACGTATTATGTGTTTTAAAAGCACACTCGGGCTCCCTCCTTAAAGCCTCTTTATCAGTGCTGTCAGAAGCTGACTATCTTTTCTTGGTTAATAACAGCTGACATTTGCCACAGCACACATTATGTCATTTAAAAGGAGACAGGAGGGGCAGCTAGGTGGTGCAGTGGATAGAGTGCTGGCCCTGGGGTCAAGAGGACCTGAGTTCAAATCCGGCCTCTGACACATAATACTTACTAGCTCTGTGACCCTGGGCAAGTCACTTAACCCCACTGCCTAGCCAAGAAATAAAACAAAACAAAACAAATTAAAAGGATATAGGAAATATGCTTGCTACTCAGCAAACAGTGCACTTTGGGGGGTTCTTCAGACTATTCTGGTTGAGTGACTCACCTGGATTTATGACATTCTTGAATGAACAAGAAGTCCTCAGTAACCAAGTGGCTTAGCCCAGTGCTCTGTAGCCACAGACACAAAAATTTTACCCAGATGACCATAACTTTTCATGGGAGGCAAAGATGACACAATTGAAAAGATGTTCAAGCTGCTGAAAAACTCAGTCACCTGCTCCACCCTGCCCCCCAATGAAGGGAGGCTCGCCAGAGTTACTGCTTCCACTTACTTGCTCTGTGTATTCTCTCCCGAACTTCCATATATTCCTGTTCATGCTTTACCGCTGTCATGGCCACGGCGAGCTCATTAATCATCTCTTCCAGCTTGTTCTGATGAGCTATTGGGAGAAGGGTGGAAAGAATAGTAAGGACAGACTTCTTTCTGACAGCATGAAAGAATGGGGACTTACACAATTAGAAAATACTTCTCCTGAAAAGGCCAGAGCCACACAATTTCAGAAACACGCTGAACCATTCTACATCTCATCTTGGAAAAGAGCTAAACTTTCCTGAGGATGACTTAATCTTGGAATCATATTATAAAATGCTTACCAACAGAAGGTTTTCATAACTGATTTCTTCCTTTGATTTTGTGGATGTTAGAGGGCCAACAGAAGAAGGCAAAGAAAAGGAAAGAGACTCAATAGGGAGGGTAACAACCCTAATGTCATGGAATCCAAGTAAATCTTAACTTTTTTGGCAATTCCTTTACATGAAAGGCAAAAAAAAAAAATACATAAGATCCCAGAATATGCTATCACTATGTTTTCACAATATTTAAGTTAAATGCCCTTCACACCTTAAAAGTTTCAGTATCAACTTGTAAGCAACATAAACAGAACATTTAAAGTAAAGAGGTATCTCTAATCAGAGTAAAAAACTATGGACCATCTGGGGAAGACTAAAGATGCCCCTCACACTCCTTTATAATATTCAAAGGAGCAATTTTAATACAGTGGATAATAACCAATACTTAAGTACAGAGACAGGTTCTCAGGAGTACAAAGATTTTCAGCCAGGTGCACCTCTGATTAAGAATGAACACAGGGTATATGTATTAACATCAGTTCTGACAGGAAAAAACTACTCGCTTCCAGGTAGTGCGATTATATGACAACAAGTAAAGTAAAAAACAAACACTTCTTTAAAAAATGAGCATTTTGGAGGAATCTCTACATAGAAATGTAAGATCCAACAGGACAGAGCTTGGATGCCCAATCACCCTAACAGGATAGGAAAGACAATAGATAATAAATGTGCTGTTAGAGGGGCAGATGCCAGCCACATAATAACGGTGGAGTTGGACTATAAATCAGAGCCTTCTTGAAGGCTTTGCTCAAAGAGTCCAGTGCACTACATGGAACCTTTAAGGGAAAGGCTTGATTTGGCAGCTACCATTCATTGCCATTAACAAGCAAAAGCAAGGGTTTTAGCTCTTATGTTAAAGGATTATTTCAGAACAATTCACTGTTCACATTCATCAGCCAACATATCTACACTACTCACACAGGGCCATCTTCCAGCAAGATGGAGAGGAAAAACAAAGATTTTCAAACCCATACCTCTCACTGGAGATTAGATAGCCTTGCACCATGAAAATAAGGTTCTGAAGAGCGAACATATAAATTACAGACAGTCTGCTACTGTCTGTCAAATACAATCACTCAACTAATACTGACCTTCAAGAGATCCAAACGAGACATTTCACCCTTGTCACGATCTTTTGCTACTCCTACTGATTGCTCCATAACAGAGCAAAGGTTACCATGCTAATATTTTGAGACATGCTGAAAAAACACCAGCTTATGCCTAAAGTTTTATACACATGCACAGTAATTTTCCATCAGAATAGGAACCTTAGTTGCCAGCAGACTGGTTTCTGCCCCCCATCTAATGGCACCAGGACCACTTTGAGTCTCATCAATGGGCACCTCATTAGTGATAACTGATAATAATGATTAGAATAAATTTTCACCACTGCGCCAAAACACAGCCGTGGAAGGGGCTCTATATGATGTATAAAGACATTTCAAACACCTGGGTTTATATTTCTTATCCACCCAGGCCTCGAAATATTTAATCATGTTAGAGTAAGCCCATAAAACTTCACACGCATCTTATCGTCATTAAAACAGCAAGTCAAACTTCAATCAGGTTGTAAACTAACTGGTTTATATTTACTTATAACTCTCTTGTTAATCTTAAAGAAACAAAATAAAACATTAATAAATGATTTATGTTCCAAATAACATAATTTAAAACAAAATCAAAGATGCATGACCATGTCTGTTAAAAAAAAAATCTCCCTACAAATCATACTTAGATCTAATCATGTATAGGTTTTTTTTTTAATTTAAAGTAAAAAAAGAGGGAAAAACATTCTCATGCCAACAAACTGAGGTTAGAAAAAAAGAGAAGCACAAATTAGACATTAGTCAATGAATGTATGCAAAAGACAGGAGGCTAATGAGCTGTCAAAAAGCAATCCACATACCATCCCAGGTATCTCCTCCACCTAAAGAAAAGCGGAAGAGATAAACACAGGCGCCCAAAAAAGAGTTGCAGATAAACTAGGCATTTATACAATGGCAAACAAAAAGGTCAGACCAGTATTAGCACAGTAATGGAAGAACAAATAATCCAAGAAGTATCCTACGTGGTGATAACAACAAAAACTGATTACATGGAACTGAGCAGAAAAAATACTGGCTTTCAAAAACCAAATTCTCTGCTGGGAGAGGAAATAAGATTTAATAACTAAGTGATAATATCATTTCTGCTACTTAACAAAATACTCATTCCAATTAGGGATGTTGAAAAGAATGTCAAAGAGGACTTAACCAAGAGTTCTATCCAGATGGGCAAAAAAGTGTGCTAAGCAAGTCCACCTCTCCCCCAAACAAAGGAGCATCATGTCAACAATCTCTTTCAAGGTTCTCCGTACCTTCTGTTTCCATGTCTTGGCCCTTTGGAGCTTCTCCAATATCAATAGTGAACATCACTATCTTGGGAGTCATGGTGGACATTCTGTTGCTAAAACAAAACTTGTAAGTTCCATCCATGTGAGCTGCAAAAGTATATTTCCCGCTGGACTCTCTGTCACCTTTATAGATTCCTTTATTATCAGGTCCTGTAATCTGGAGTGGGAAAGAAACAAAGCAATATGCCCTGAAACAAGTTTCAAATTCATAAATCATCAAAGTAATAATTGTCTGACTGGTGGGAAATCTACTAAGAAAACAGAACACACAAGACATCTGCTTTGCTATCAACTCCCAAAGTAAATCATAGGATCACAGAGAGCTGAAAGGGTCTTTGGATAAAATCTAATCCAACCCCCTAATTTCACAGAGGTGCAGAATGGGACCTAAGGTTTCCTGACTCCTGAATTCAATATTCTTTCTCCTCTACCACACTCTAAAGTAGTACCATAAGCTAACAAGATCATGCCCTGGAGCCTAAATGACTTCCTCCTCTCTGGGATGCAGATTCATTACCTGCAAAATGAAGCACTTGTAAATAAATATGTAAATAAATAAATAAATTCTAAGGTCCCTTCCACCTCTAAATTTAGGATTTCACAACTGTTTCTCCAACTAGATTGCCTACCCAACTAAGACCCAGTTCTCATGCCTTCTTGCATCACCAATTCATTTCAACATGAATTTATTAAGCATGTAAGGGGCACTGGATAGAAAAACAAAACAGAAAAGATCCAAGGCTCTCAGGAAGCTGACATTCTACTGAGGAGATAAAGTGTACGGCAGGCAAGTCAATATAAGATAATATGAGGAGGGAGCGATAACTAACAACTAGGAAATCAAGAAAAGATTTCCACAGAACGCAGCAACTGAGAAGCAACTTGAAGGTAAGGATCCTAAGCATCAGAAGTGTTATGGGGACAACCTGTACAAACGTTCTGAGGTGAGAGATGAAATGGATCAGAGGAGGCCAGTTTGGCTGGAACACGGACAAAAGGGCAGAAATGAAAATGAAGCCTGAAAAGGCAACGGTGAAGCCAGACTGTGAAGAGCCTGAAATGCCACTCGGAGGAGTTTACATTTTATCCTTGAGGCAAAAGGGAAACATGAAAGATTCTTGAGCAGGAGTAACGTTGGTCAAACCTGACTTTTAGGAAGATAATTTTAGCAGCTCTATGGAGAAGTAAAGGGAGAGAGGTGACACAGCACACAGAGAGCTGGGCCTGGAGTCAGGAAGACCTGAGTTCAAATCTAGCCTCAGATACTCCCTACCTAGCTGCATGACCCTGGGAGTCACTTCACCTGTTTGCCTCAGTTTCCTCATCTAATGGGGATAATAATAGCCCTTACCTCCCAGGCTTGTTTCAAGGATCAAATGAGATAATATTTGTAAAGCACTTAGCACAGAGCCTGGCACATAGTAGGTGCCATAGAAATGCTTGCTGCTATTATTATTAAAACAGATAGGCAAGAGGAGAGACCTGGAAGCAAGGCAAGAAGTGAAGAGGGCCTGAACAAGGACGGTAGTGGTGTGTCTAGAAAAAAGGGGACAAATGCATGGTGCCTAACAAACACAACAGGCACTTAATGTCTACTGCTAATAACAACAATAAAGCCCAAGTTTTTGAGAAACAAGGTAAAGGAAGATTATAGCCAGTTAGCTGACAGCTTTCTTAACACAGCAGTTGCTATAATCATCAATGCCAAAGAGTAAATCCAGTATTTTTCAAATGCTTTAAGGCACCTAAATTTAAAGATACTGTAAGCTGTCAAAACAGAGAGCCTCAAGCAGAAACAATTTCTAGATTTTTAGGGATTTGTGAATTTTTTTGTGGGTTTAGTCTCACTGTTTGATGTTCCTGTTCTGGAGACCACAGAAGGAATAACCTTTAATTCCCATTACTTACAATCATTTATGATCCTTCAGTGTTAAACTAGAACTCCTAAACACATTTTTTAAGGAAAGAAATTAATCCTTTTATTTTAAAAGCACAAGCGTTTTAGATACTATTTCTTTGATCCTTCAGTAGCTTCCCCATAACACTCTTGAGGTAGTTGTGGCTGATCTGCTACCGGAAAAGGGCCCCAAACTGTTAAAGCTATCAAGCACCCTGCCAGAACCCACAGACTAGACAACATCGGGTCACTAGGAGGTGATGGAGGCCAGCAGCCTCGGCCTGTCCTGTCCTGTCCCCCTAACCTTCTCACACAAAGCACAGAGGCTCACAAGCAGCTGTCCTCCCGGCTATTATCCAGACTGGCCCAGGACGGCTTTCTGGCACGGGGCTGCTCCACATGGTTTTTGCTAAAGCTCAGCATCAGGTTACAGTGTCCAGGGTCACTCAGCAGGGTCCCTCACAGAATCACAGCGGGCAGGGCCCTGGAGATCTAGGCCAACCTCTTGATTACACAGAGAAGGAAACTGAGGCTGAGAAAAGTGCAGCGATTTCCACAAGGTCACAAAGATGATCGAGTCTGTGAGCGACCTTCCAACGCATCCCGGCCTTGGTCTGGAAAGGACCCCAGGCAGGGAAACGATCGGGCCTGGGGATGGGAAGTGGGGGACAAGCCTCTGCCACACCAGCTCTGACCACACACACACATTTTAAACCGGACCTGGACAGGACCTCACCCTCGAAAGGAGTGTGAAGGGGGTGAGAAGAAAAGTGGAAAAGAGAGAGAAGGGGGGAGGGGGAAAAGGAGGAAGGAAACGGAGGGAAAGAAAAGAGGGGAGGAAAAGAAGAAAGGAATGGGGGCAGAGAGGAGGAAAAGTGCCGGTGAAGGGCCGAACACCACCCGCTTCCCCTAGCATGCCCCGGCCGCCCCACGCTCCGGGGAGCTTGGGCCTACTGGCACGTTACCCCTAACTGGCAGGTGGGGGAACTGAGGTTCCAAGAGGTGACTTTCGGGGGAGAGGCTACTCAGTCCCAGGCCGGCGCGCCCCCCTCCCCCTACGCCCCCAGCCCCTTCTCGGGCGCGCGCTCCCGCCCTCGGGCGCGCGCACCGCCGCTGCCCCTCCCCCGCCCCGCCCCGCGCGCGCGCACCTCCACGTCGATGTCCAGGAAGCCGCCCTCGGCCACCTCGAAGATGAGGCCCATCTTGGTGCCCGAGGTGACCCGCTCGAAGAAGCACTCCTCCGCGTGCGCGTCGATGCTAACGAAGTAACCCGAGGCCGTGGCCAGAAGAGCGGCCAGCAGCGTCAGCACCTCCGGGAGCGTCACCATGGCGTGCGAGCGGGCACGGGGCCTGGCGGGGGACGGGGACTAGCGCCGGGACTGCGGCCTCCTCAGCCGCCGTCGCCGCCGCCTCCTCCTCAGCCTCCGCCTCTTCCGGTTGCTGCCACCCTGAGCGGGAAGGGGCGCTGATGCGGGAGACGCCGATTGGCGGGCCGGCGCCACTGCCACGTAACGGCCGCACGGTGGCCGCCGAGGGCCAGCCTTGCCCCGCCCTCCCCGCGCCGCGGACGGCGGCGCCGAGGGGACAAAACGCGTTCTTCGGGCTTCGTGGAAGCCCGTGTGTGGTTCCGGGAGCGCGCGCGCGGGAAGGTGGGGTCTAACTGAGCGGGCTGCAGGCTCCTCCTCTACTTGTTGGGACCAGGGGGCCCTGCCCGGCTCCTACCCTAAAGGAACGAAAGACAGTGACCTCAGTGCCGATGTCCCCTCTGACACTCGCTAGCTGGGTCACCTCGGGCAGGTCCCTTAAGCTCTCTGAGCCAGTTTCCTCATCTGTAAAATGGGGGTAACAACATTCGAAACACCTGCTTCCTTGTTCTCAACAGTTGCCAACTTAGTGACCTCATACGAGTGAATTAGTTGAGTGTCATTTTCCACATCTGCTGTTCTGAAGAAAGCCAATGGAAACGTGACATGTTCTGAGCCTGGAGAGGACTGACGAGCAATACAACTCAAATGCATTTATTAAGCGCCTTCTGTGTGCCAGGCTTTGTATCAGATGCCGAGTATATATACAAAGAAAAGATGGGAAACTGTACCTGCTCTGCGAGAGCATAAAGCACGCACACCTAGAGGCAACCTGAACAATATAGAGTAGATACAAAGTAACAGCAAGCAGCGTCAGTGAGAGAAATAAGGGGCCATCAGCAAAGACTTCCTTAAAGGGAGGTGGCGTCTGAGCTGTGCTCTGACAGAAAGCAAAGGTGTGCAGGCAGAAGATGGGAGCATCGTCCTGGGGCTGCACTGGAGCCTGCACAGAGACGAGACCTGGGACCATCCCATGACGTGTTTCCAGCTCTCCCTGGCAGCTTAATGATAAATGAATTTACCCTTTGGTCAAATCAAGTCAATAAATGTTTATGAAGGACCTACTATGTGCCAGGCACTGTGCCGAGCTTACAAAGAAAGGCCAAAATTAAAAATCCTTGTTCTCAAGGAGCTCTTGTAGAAGGTGGGATGTTATCCGGGACTTAAAGGAAGTCAGGGCAGCCTGAAGGCAGAGGTGAGGAGAAAAGAGCATTCTAGGCCTGGGGGAAGGCCAGTTAAAATACACAGAAGCAGGTGGTGTGTTTTGGAGTGTTGTGCAAAGAACAGCCAGGAGGCCAGTGTCACTAGATCACAGAGTAGGTGAAGGGTAGTAAGGTATAAGAAGACTGGAAAGATAGGGGGAGCATTTATTAAACACCTACTGTGCACCAGACCCTGTGCTAAACGTTGGGAATACAAGGAAAGGCAAAAAAAAAAAAAAAGTCCACAAACTTGAAAAGCTCACACTCTACACTCTAATGGGAGACAACTTAGGAGAGAGAAGAATCACAAAAAGCCAGGGAGGAGAGCATGTCCACAGTATAAAAGGCTGCTGGGAGGTCAAAGGACCCAGAAAAAGCCATTGGAGTAATTTACCAGTTAGGAGATCACTAGTAACCTTGGAGAGAGGGATTTCAGTCATGCAGTGCCCCCAGAGTCCACTTGGCAAGGAACTGAGAAGCGAGTTCAAGGTAAAAATGTGGACACAGTAAGCATAAGCAGCTTTTCCCAGGAGTTTGGCAAAAGGGAGAACAACAGTGCAAGGAATGGTAAAAGTCAAAGGAAAGGTTCTGGTTTTGGAGACTGGGTCTCCCTATTTCACCCAGACTAGAAGGGCAGCGGCCACTCACGAGCCTGGAGCCAATATTGATTGGTACAGGAGCTCTGACCTCCTCTACTTCTGACCCCCGCCAGATTTCCCTTCCTTAGGAAGCCCAGTGGACCCTGGTCCCAGAGGCTCACCATACTGGGGTCACACTTAACACAGACACCTCATAAGCTTAACCCACAGCAGCTCAGAACTCACGTGATCCATCAGATTCAGCCTCACTGTAGCAGGGGTTCACAAGTCTGTGCCATACCCAGGGAGAGTTCTTTTTTTCTTTCTAAGAATGAGAATATCTAGGCATATTTATAGACTGTGGAGAAGGAGAGAGTGAAAATTATGAAGACAGAGGGTGATCGGAGCAGCAAGCTTATAGAAGAAAGAAAAAACCAGTATTATGATATATAGTCATGTATAGTCAAATATTTAAAAGCCTGTCACAGAGGAGAGATAGCATTCGCTTTGCTTGGTCCCAAAGGACAAAACTAGGAACAGTGAGTGAAAATGGCAGATAAGTAGATTTCTTTTTTTTTAATCAAAAAAAATTTTTTTTTAATTTTTAAGCAATTGGGGTTAAGTGATTTGCCCAGGGTCACACAGCTAGTAAGCATCAAGTGTCTGAAGCCAGATTTGAACGCAGGTCCTCCTGACTCCAAGGCCTGAGCTCTATCCATTGCGCCACCTCGTTGCCCCATTAGTCCCATTTCTAACTATATACACATTGGAGACTGTGATGTTAAAGTCCATGTGTGATGATTCCATTGCTCTTGATGGAAAAAAATAATTTGATAAAAATGGGGTTTTTTGGCAAATCTTTTCTACTTTTTTTCTGTTTGTAATCCTCTTTACATTTTCATCCCTGAATGCCCTTGGAATAACTTTGTTTAGTTGGATTTCTTGCCATGCTGTCTTTAAATCTGTTTTAGCCTCCAGTTCTCTTTACTTTATGAGACAATATTGCTCATAACTGTCCATCATCGTTCTCTATAACAGTTTACAAGGGACTTTATATTTTAACACCTTTGGCAGCCATTTCTCTCTGTTTGGCTTTCAATCTTTTTTTGGTCTCCTTGTGGCAGTCAGTTAATTGATAGTTGAACTTATGAATGAAATTATTTTAGTTGCTGTTAATGTCATTTCTATTGTCTACTTCCCATTTTTTATCTTTAATTACGTGTTTAAATAGTTCAGAATTAAAGTTGTTGGAATTGTATGCTATATTTTTCCTCATTATCATTCTTTCTTTCCTCCTCTATCTTCTTTTTCTCCTCCTCTTCCTCCTTTATTCTTCTTCTCCTTCTTCTTCTTCTCCTCCTCCTCCACCTCCTTCTCCTTCTTCTCTTTCTCGTCCTCCTTCTTCACTAATTCTAATCTTACTTCTTATGAGTAAATGGTGATTATACACAGAAAGATGACTCAGGAATAACACATCTTTTCCTGATTATTAAAATGTAATTTGTTTCATTCTTTACAGTGTTACCTGGTGCTCACCTTGTTTAGCAAATCATTTTTTAAAGAAAGCGTTCATGATATAGTGGCACAAGACTTCTGTGTAGTCTGCCATTCTTCGGCCTCTCTCCTTCCTTCCTCCTGAATCATGCTTTCCCATATATTTCTCACTATTCCCCATTTTGTCTTTGAAGTCACTCGGGTATCAGATTGTGTTCTGGTTCGATATAGACGATATTATCAAGGTATTTGGTAGAATTTCCCTACCACTTCCATCCTCAGCAACTGGAATTGGCATAGAAGCTACAATTATTTTCCTGGAGTCTTTTTGGAAAAACTTATCTTTAATGCTGCAGTACATGATGATCAAATGTACCACAAAATGATCCTTTTCTTGTTGCTTCTGGGCACATGATAAGATTCTGCCAATTCCTTTTTTTTTTAACCTTTCTAAGGAGCCATACTTCCCTTTAGCGGCACCTTCCTTCTGGTTTAACTTACTGAAAGAATTTAAAGATTGACATGACTAGCTGCTCCAACTATACAGCTAATCATTGGTCATTGGACAAGAACCTTACATTTTGAATACCAACAGTCAGATTAAAGTTTATTGATGTCTGTGTGATTCTTAGGACCCTCTGACCTTTCCCCCCATTCTTCCACCATCACTACAGAAGTGAAAGGGGGCTGCAGAAGGCTGAGGGCCATTTTTATTGGGGGAGAGGGTGCCATGGCCAAAACAAATCACCATGTAGTCAGCCTATATCATATTAATTTCCTAACATACTTCTCCTAGCCTTCCGTACTCCGTGAACCTTCTCTTGTAACAAAGATACATGAGAGAAGAAAATACGTTGGAAAAACCAACCAACACACCAGTCCTTTCCACAAAGTCTTCCCTTATAATAAGTTTGGCTCCAGAAATACAAGAAAATATACTTCGAAAACGGTGCATCAGCTAGTCAACAAGCATTTATTAAATACTTACTATGTAGTAGGCACTGTGCAGAGTACCGGAGATTTCCCCCACTCCCTATCACTCCCCACCAGAAAATCCTTCCTTTGATAGACCAACTTCCATCTAATCCTGCTTAATTCTAGACCTCCACAGCACAGCCATTTCCTGGACATCTTCAGCCAAATCAATGAAAGCATAATCCTTCCTCTCATCCCCTCCAGCTCCCCTATGTGTCCTCTTCCCCATTGGAATGAAAGCCCCCTGAGGGCAGAAATTTTCTAGGATGCTTCTACTTGTATTCCAAGGGCTGACTGCAGTGCCACACATTTAGTAACGGCTTTGTAAATACTCTCATCTCTGTCTCTGCCTGTGTTAAATCTCTCTCTCTCTGTCTGTCTCTCTCTGTGTTTCCCTCTCTCGGCAAAAACATATTTCCAACCCTCAAGTTTATCCTGCCCAGACCCAGACCTGCCATGTTCTTTCCCTGCCCACTTCATCCTCAGCAGCTGCACCCATGCCCACTTAATTCCTCCCTTCACACCCCTTCCACTCCAGGTCTGAAAGCAGAAATAACATGACAATCATTCTTGGAAAGCACCTGTCAGACACTTGTTCTCTGGCTCCCATCACCGTCCCCATGATTTCCCTGTCCGTAAAGCTCCTCCCTGACCCTCTCCCTGTTCAGCGTTGTCTTCCCTTGTTAGGATGTAACCTCACCGAGGGCAGGGGTAGTTTTTGGCTTTTTTTGCCTTTGCA